CCCCAAAACCCCAAAACCCCATGTGATTCAATATAATATCAAAATAGCTGGAGGTATAATTTAAAATCAGAATATAATAAAGTATAAAAATCACTCATCTTCCCATTCACTTAATCTAGCTCTAATTGGATTGAAATATTTATGTTACAAAGCTTATTTAGGCGTTATTCTATTATTCTTATCATAAACAAGCATTTTCTCTAATAAATCAATAGCATTATCAGTAGCCAAATGTTTATTTTCAGAATTTACAAATGACTTGAGAGATTTAGGGGAGTATCTATCTAGCTTTTGATAAAAATACTGACTTACACTAACGTTATATTTTTTCATGTAATCCAATAGGCTATCTGTGCCCATCACCTTGGCTATTTTTATAAGTTAGTCTTAATTGTCATCTCCGAAAAAGAAAGGATCCTTTTAGAATATAATCTCAGCGAATGTGCAGCCTGTACTCCAAATATCTAAGGAGTAATGATATCTGGTATCATCAACTAATAGCTCGGGGCCTTTGTAATATCTAGATGCTACTCTCACGTTATATTTTTAGTTAGGAACGTAAAACTCTGCTAAGCCCCAGTCAATTACACGAAGCTACTTTGTCTCATAATCAAACATAATGTTCTAGGGTTTTATATCTCTATGAATGATTCCATTTGAATGACAATAGTCTAGTGCCTCTAGTAGCTATAAATTATATGATTACTATTTCTAATTTTTACCTTATACATGTAAATTTGCACATCCTAATCTTCAAATTTATTGAAAAGCTTTCGATAGCCTATATTATTGATATACTCAAAAATTAAGCAAGGAGTCCTGCTAGACTCATCTCTCACCAAATCATACAACTTAACGATGTTTTTGCCGCCATAGAGATTTTGCAGTATTTTGATTTCTCTATATATCTTGACAGTTCTGACTGGCTTTAAAACCTTGATGCAAACTCGTTCTCTGTTTTAAACATTAACACCCTCAAAAACCTCTGAGTACTTGCCTCTTCCAATTTTCTGAACAACTCGATAGTTATCAATCGGATTCCAATTTATTTTTAAATCATCAACTTATGAATACTAAGGCTCTCTTTCATTAAGTATGTTAGCATATGTAGCAGGCAAATGTAATTGCTCATTATTATTAGATGATTCCATTTTGAATTCGTATTTTGATTTGAATTAAAATATTCGAATTACAACCTAGATGCCTTTTCTTTAAGTGATGGGGTTTTGGGGTTTTGGGGTTTTGGGG